ACTAGGAGACGCCTAGGAACCGGGAAGACCCCACCCTGCCTGTGGTCTCCGTGTTCCACTGAGCCTTCCTGGGTGAGGCTCAATGCCTATGGGTGCCTGTGCCCCAAGGCCCTGCCCACACAGACTTACGCACAGGCTCTTTGTGCAGTCACTGTGTTCCTCGAAAGCCGTAAATCAAATCCCCCCTTCCGACAGACTAGCGCAGTCATTTTCAAAACTACTTTCCTGCTGGAGGGGGGCACCCTGGGAGCATTTCCTGATGAGGGGTCTCTAACCTTGTTTGTCGTCAGTGGGACGTCTGTGTGTGGAGAGGCCTCAGGCTTTGGGTGAAGATGAGGGAGGCAGGAGGTTTCTCAGGGAACAGCTGGCTTTACCCTTCTGGTGGCAGGCAGGGAGGCTGCCCCGCTGGGGAGCCCCTAGTGTGAGCTGGGAGACAGGGAAGTCATCTCACACTGGAGCTGCCTGGCCTCTGGGCCTGCCTCCTTTCTCAGGCAGAGCAGGAGAGTGGAGAGAGTGTAGCTTCTCTGAGGGAGCTGAGATGGGCTCCCTGCCCACCCCGAGCCCCCTGTTCCAGGCCCACAGCCCCTGACCAGATCAGATAGGGCACGTTCCTGCAGTGAGCTGCCTGCTGACTGGGACCGGGCTGACGCAGGCAGGAAAATATTAACCCAGTTGAATGGGCACATGTAAATGTGTGCATGGCTCTGTGTGTGTGTGTCTCTGTGTGTGTGTATGTGTGCACCCACAAAGAGGTTTTCACAGGCAAGACCAGACACAGATATGTAGGTGCACATACACACCTGCCCATTCACACATATACATGCTCACATACAGACATACACAAAGACACAAATGCTTCTCACACATGCAAATTCCCTCAGTATCATCTTCCAAATTCTGTCAATGAGATTGCCTCCTCTAAGAAGCCCTCCCTGATAGCTCTAGCTCATACTGGGAAGTGGCAGGCCTGAGCTCTATGCCTGGTTTCTGATGCCAATCAGGCAACATGACATAGGCTTTAGAGTGGAACAGGCTTGGTTTTGGATTCTGGTTCCCTTAAATCACAGGATGTTTGTCTTTGGGCCAGTGACTGTGCCTCCTGGTCCTGTCTTCCCTAGTCTCTGTCCTCTCAGTCCTGGAGGCCCACGTATGACTCTGAGAAGGATGAGGCTGGGCTGTGGGAAGGGGAGTCTGGTCATTGGAGAAGGTCAAGGTTATACATTGTCCTGGGTCCTGCCTGTGCCCCTGCCCCTCCCCAACCTAGCCCCCAGTTCTCCTAGGTGGGGGGCCCTGGCCTCCTGGGGCAGGGGACAGAGCCCTGATCTGGATGTTCTAGGTCTAGGTGATCTTGAGCAAGTTGTTACCTTGCTCTGAATCTCAGTTTCCCTATCTCAAGAGTTTGAAAGGTGACACTTACCTGGGTGAGACTTAAGGGTCCATTCTTTTTTGAGCAGAAGGAGAATTTTTATGACTGCAGGTGATTTCAGAGAGACCAGGGTCCCTTGAAGAACCTGCGTTGTGTTCCCACACCCATCCCTGCCCCTTTAGCCAGAGCTTTTCCTTTCTTACTGATTGATACATGGGCTCCTGAGTTACACACCGGATTCGGCGGCTCAAAAGAGTCTGAAAAACCCCAAGTATAAAACAATTTGACTGAAAGTAGTTTTGTGATGTTTATCAAATGGAATGTTGGTTGAAGCAAATAATTAGCTGAAATGATTAGTTTTTTACACATCAACACTTTGGGGCATATTTGGCGGGGGGAGTTCAGAGAAGTTTTAGCATCTCTTGGCAGTTTTCTTTCTTTATTCTGATTTTTAAAAATTTCTATTTGCATTTTCATTCCTAATTGGATTTCGGCCTCTTGTGTCTGCCCCATGCTGTTCCTAATAGAAAAGAATTGGAAACATTTAAAATGTGTGTGTATAGTCACATGCAAGATGGGGATATAGACCTATTGGCATGGAATGATATTCTCAATGTTTGAGGGGAAACAGTACTTGACAAAATAAGTTTCATTCTACTTATTATTGACCAAGTAAGGAGGGGATATGATATGTGTATACATAAAAAAAGGATTAGAAGGAAATCTACCAAAATGTTAGTAATAGTTGTCACAGAGGGAAAATGGGTCTTTTAAGGTTCCTTTGGCTTGTTTGTATTTTAGGTCAAAACAGAATAAAAGAAAAGGGCCTGAGATTCTTTTTATTTGTTTTCTATTAAAAAATTTCCACTCCAATGATAGACAATTATATCTGCTTGACTTGCTTGGCTATGTGTTCATAAATATTTAAATTTTCAGTTAGGTTGAACATTAATGTCCCCAATTACCAATTCACATTGTAAGGTTTTTAGTGTTGTGAGTAAGAAATGGGAGGTGGAGAGGCACCTGGCTGGCTCAGTCGGTAAAGCATGAGACTCTTGATTCTAGGGTTGTAAGTTCGAGCCCCATGTTAGGCTTAGAGCTTACTTAAAAAAAAAAAAATCTAAAAAAAAAAAGAAAAAAGAAAGAAGTTTGAGAGCACTGGGTTATTTCCAAATTTTCACTCACAAAAATAATGTATTGCAGACAAAATTAGAATAAGAAAACTAAATTTCTGCAAGAGGGACTAAATGCTGAGAGAGACATCAAAGTTTGCAAAACTTGCCCTATAGCACACTAATACTACCACTTCGTTTTCAACTGATTTCTCATTTTTCTCAAATTAGTTTTTGACTTACTGGGCCACTGTGCCTTCATAGGCCTTTTCGTGGGCCTTGTCTGGATGCTAAAAGTGGTTGGTTGGGAGGACCACATATTCTCCAACCCCAGTTCACAAATGAGGAAACAGAGGCCCAGGGGAGGATGGAGCTCCTTCTCCAGCCTTCTGCAAGCCACTCCCAGAATATGCTAGGTTTTCTCACAATCCCACTGGGCTTCAATGCCTTCAAATAACCACCCCCCCCCCTCACTTTGGAGGACTCATCTTCTCTGTCATCTCTTCCAGATGATTCTTGCCCCACTCCAGGCTGGCTTAGCTGCTGCCTATATTCCATCCACCTTCTCTTGGTGTATCCTAAGTCACCTGCTGCTTATCCATCTCTCCCAAGAGACAGACAGGACTTTGTCTTCTCTACATCTGGGTCTCTAGCACCTCGCCCAGTAAATGAGCCCGGGGCTTGATCCCTGACTCCAGCCAACATGGATCCCAAATTCCTCCCTCACCAACTTGGTCCCAGCCCAATCCAAGTCTGCCCAAGCTCTGACCTCATCCAAGACCCCAGCTTCACTTTTGACTCTTACGTCACCCTGACCCTGACAGTACACACCGGAAAGGAATAAAGGCAGGTGCCTCCCATGTCCAGGGGTATATTTCTCCCTTCCTGAAAGAAGCACTAATTATCCTGAGCCCACCCGAATCTGCAGAGTGGAGTGAGGGGCAGAGCCTCAGCCGTGGCGGGCAGCAGTGGAAGAGTTTGCTCCTTAAGGACAGCTTCTGACTGGGAAGCCCTCTGATTGCAGCCTACCCCTGCCTCTCCCTGCTGAGTGACCTGCAGGGCAATTTGGGGTAGGGACCTGGACAATGCCCGGTCAGACTTGGCTTGGTCTATTGGCACCCTCTAGAGGACAGTTCTATTAACTGGAGCTAGCTTTGGGCCACCAAATCCTATATGGTTCCCCCCCAACTGAGGGGCTGCCTGGCCTCAGATGCTCCCGGGACTTACTGCCCACTGCCCACCACTCTGCCTGGCAGGTCTCCTCATAGTCTGCAGACCAGCAACCACTCCCTGTGTCTCAGCACCGAGTCACCTGCTCAAACACCACATTGCCCCATCCTTGGAGGCCCAGTAACACCCTGGCTCCAGAAGTCCTCTCAGATGGCAGCTGATCCCCTAGCTCACTGCGGACCCCACCTTAGTCACTAAGTTTCTGCAGCCCTGGCCTGGTGCCCCACACTCTGCTCCAGCTTTGGCTCCTTCACAGAGGTCTTGCTTACTAGGGTGGCATTTTCCTGATGATAGGGCATAGGTTTCCCCTTCCCCTGCTCAGATGGGAGCTCCCAGAGGAGGAGGCCCAGGCTTCTTCTCTTCGCCAGAGACTAGGGACTCCAGAGGACCAGGCTTGGATTTCTATCTCCCCTCTCAGACCGGGGTTTCCCTGCCGACATGGCTTATGTGTCCTCCTTCCCCCGAGACTGGGAGGGGACTGAATTTCCCTTTCCACCTTCAGAGTGGGGGTTTCCTGAGGACTGAACCAGGGTCTTCTCCCTAACCCCTCCACTGGCTGTTGATCTCCAGATCTTTCCATTTCCAGTCCCCATTCTGCACAGCTCTTCCCACAGCCAGGGCCTCAGGAGCCATCTGAGGCCCTGGGAGGGCTTCCTCTGGCTTTGGGCTGGACACCTGGCTCGGAGGACAGGCCCTTCCTCTGGGACCCACCCTGAGCTCTACCTCTGACCTCACAAGGGCCGCCTTAGAACCTGGTCTCCGTGGCGCCGCTGGTCGGTGAAGGGATGCTATTTTAGGCAGTGTGTCTGGACTTGGCCCAAGTGGCACGGGCCAAACCCCTGCCCCACTGACCTCTCCCCTGGAGGAGCAGAGCAAAGCAGCGTGTGGGGCCACCCCAAGGGGGGTCGAGAGGTGGGCTCTAGACTGGGGACACAGGGACAGTGGAGTCCCAGCCGGGGGTGCCGCCAGAGCCCAGGACAGTCACGGAGGAACAAGATCAAGAGCTGCTATAACTGAGAAGCCCCCAAGGTGGACGCTGAGGAACATAAGGCACTTCAGTAGAGTGAGTTGGACTCCAGGCAGGGCTGGGACAGGGGACCTCCCCTGCGACCCAGGCCTCAGATTGCTACTTCCTGGGGACCATATGGAGGGGTGGAGAGATGACAACAGGACTAGCTGGGGAAGGAACCCCAGCTGGGAGCTGAAAGCCAGGATGTCTGTTCTGGTTTAGTCCTGAGTTGCTGTGTGACACAGGCATGTCCCACACTCTCTCTGGGCTTTAGTTCCCTCACCTGTAATTTGACTGCTGGGAGGAAGAGCAGTGCCACCGAGGCTGGGAGGGTGTGTTGGGCTGGCCTGTCAGGAGAGCGCTGGCCAGGGGACGAGGAGAGCACGCAGACCAGACCCTGGACCAAAGCAGAAGGCATGCAGATCAGAGAGATGGGTTGATTGCTGGTTTAGCTGGAATGATTTCTCCCCTGGGAGTTCCCTCCTGAGAAGCAGGGGCTGGGGGCTGCAGGGTCCCGCAGGCAGGGCTAGGGATGTGAACTTGTGCTGCAGCTACAGGGAATCTGGCTAAAGAAGTCCCAGGGTCCCGGGACTTACAGGGTGGGGAAACTCAAGGGTTACCTCTGTGTGGTCATTTGCGTGGACAATGGGAATACGCTGGGGAATTTTCAGGAAAGGTAAGAGGGTAGACTTTGTTCTGAGGTGGAACTATGGACTAAATGAATTCGCAGGACCTCACTGTGTGTGTGTGTGTGTGTGCGCATGCACGCAAGGAAAAGGCCCTGGAAAATCAGAATTTAAGTCAGCAGCAAGAGGGCTTGAGGTTATACTAAAGGCAGTAATACCCACATATGTGAGGGTGGAGCCACTGAGGGGAGGCTGTGGGCATCTCCACTGTCCAAAGCTGGGCTGCAACCTGGGGAAGTCAGGAGGACCTGTGAAGGGCCTGGTCCGGGGGTCCTGAGGCCAGCAAGGGTAGAGGCGGTGGGACTCCAGGGCCTTTCCCCATTGGCTGAAGCACATCCACACCCCTCCTTGCCAGCTTGGCTGGGTTGAGAGACTGGAACCGGCAGGACCTGTCCCTGTGGCTTCTCCCCCGGGGAGGCTGAGGTCTGATGAGAATGTGGGGCCGAGTTCTGTGCCCCCCAGCCCTAATGACCTCTCTTTGGCTCTGCAGCATCTAAAAATCTCAAAGACAGAACATGGTTCAATCAGATAAGAAGAGGCGGTAAGTACCCTACCCATTCTCCTCCAGCCTCCCATCCCCCACCCCCAGCACACCCCTGTGCCCTTCCTTCCCTACTCTCAGCCTCTCCCTCATGGCAGCTGACCCTCCCAAACCCCCCTCCTTCCCATCCTCCACTGGGTCAGGAGGCCCAGAACAAGGGCCTCTCCCACCTGGGCCCTGGGCTGGGCCCTGGGGTGACGGGAGACTCAGACCTGCGTGAGGGCCAAAGGGCTGGTGAGTCGGGGGTTCCAGCTGCCTTTATGTAGGTGGTCACGCTCAACTGAACTGAACTCACTGCCTCTCACCGTTACGGGCTCAGGTCTCTCTGGGATACAATAAAAGCCAAAGTCCTTGCAACAGCCCAGGCCCTGCCTATCTGGTCCCAGTTTCCTCTCTGACCTTTCCCCATGCCATCCCTGCTCTCTCCCACTCTAGTCACACTGACCTCCTTTCCTTTCCCTCAGACATGCTCAGAATCCTTCAGTGATTTTCCCTCTGCCAGAAATGTTCTTCCCTCACCTCCTCATGTCTGTCACCTTCTCATTGAGGCTTACCCCAACTGCTTTACTTAAAATCATACCCCACTCCCTTTTCCTTGCTCTGTTTTCCCCCATAGGCCATACTACCTTCTTTCTTTCTTTTTCTTTTTAAGATTTTTAAAAAAATTATTTATGAGGTGCGCCTGGGTGGCTCAGTTGGTTAAGCGACTGCCTTCGGCTCAGGTCATGATCCTGGAGTCCCTGGATCGAGTCCTGCATTGGGCTCTCTGCTCGGCAGGGAGCCTGCTTCTCCCTCTGACCCTCCCCCCTCTCATGTGCTCTCTCTCTCTCATTCTCTCTCTCTCAAATAAATAAATAAAATCTTTAAAAAAATTTATTTATGAGAGAGAGACAGACAGAGAGTGCAAGTGGGGTGGGGGCAGGGGCAGAGGGAGAGGCAGACTCCCAGCCGAGTGTGGAGACTGACGTGGGACTCGATCCCAGAACCCTGGGATCACAACCTGAGCCGAAGCCAGACGCTTAACGGACTGAGCCACCCAGGTGGCCCAGGCGCCACCCCCATAGTACCTTCTAACACGCAAATGTACTTCCTTATTGCATTTCATCGCTGCCTGCGAGCTCCACGTGAGCAGAGATTTTTGTTCATTCCTGGATAGACAGAATGAATGGCTCCCCGTTGTGCTGGACTCTCTCTGGGTCTTTAGACACTGTTTCCAAAGACCTACTGGTGTCCCACAGACAACAAAGTTCCAGTTGAAAACAACCTCCACACCCCAAGCCCACTCCTCCTCCTGTGGCCTCAGCTCAGCTCAGGATCCTTTTCTCCATTGCTCAAGCCAGATGTCGAGACTCTGTCCTTGACACTTCTGTCTCCCCATGCCTCATATCTAGTCACATCTAAAATATCTAGACTGTGCTCACTCCCACCATTCTTTCCACCACGACTCTCCTCCCTCACAGGCACGTTAGGCCACCACCTGCCCACTCTTCACAAGTCTCTGCAAGCCTCACCTCCCACCCCTGGCTTCTCATCTCTGATGGCGCTGCCGTTATCTATCAGACCCACTAGATGGAGTGATCCAAGGGTGGAGATTTGGTTTATACACTGTACTGCTGGAGCTTGGCTGGTTTACAGGTGGTTGGTTGATTAGATCATTAAATGAGCTGGTGAATAGGAGATTCCGTTAGTTGGCCAAGTTGCTAGATTATTAGTTAGTTGAAGGGTTGGTTGGTGAGTTGTTAGCTATTTAGCTCCTTGGTTAGCAGATATTGCTTAGATAATTATCTGGTTGGCCGTTACCTTCTTGGCTTGTAGGCCAGTTTTCTCATTCTAAACCCTTTCCTTGAGCTATCTCATCTCTGCCCAAGGACCAAATGACCACCTATGACCTCCAGATGCGTATCTCTAAACAAGACATGACCAGCTGCCTCCGTATTACTGGCCATCTCCACCTAGGTGTCCAGGAGGCTCTTCAAACTCCACACAGCCCGAGGGCCTCCTCATGCTCCTGCCTAAGCCTGCAGCTTCTCTCCTGTGCTCACTTGTCATTCTGCTGCTCTGCCCGAACCTGAGGTCATCACTGACCCTTCCCTCTCCATTTTCCTCTTCAATCAAACACCAAGTGTGTCATTTTCACTGTCTTCTAACCACCTCCACAGCACCTTCTTGGCTCAGGCTGCCGTCGCTGCTCAGGCTGTCTGTGGCAGAAGCTTCCTGATTGCTCGTCACACCCTCACTCCTGCTCCCTCATCCCAGCTTCCATAGAGGAGGCAATGCCGCTGCTTAAATCCTCCACCAAACCCCTGGCCCTCTGGGTCAAGTTCAGACTCCCTAACATGGGCCCTAAGGTCTTCTGCCATCTGGCCCTGTGCCCCTCTCTGCCCACCTCATGTTACACTTTCTCTCCTCTCTCTGGCCACCCATCCTTGGGGAGTTCGTCTACACATCACACACTGTCTTAGCGGCAAGCCTCTGCCATGCCATTCCAATGCCCTGAACTTTCCCCTGCCTCCCCTGCTGCTCCTTCATCTGGCCAGCCTTCCATTCTCAACCTGTTTCCTCTCCTGTGGGAGACCCTCCCGCCCCCTCCTCTAGGTCGTTTGTTTCTGCTCTACAATCTAGTGATGCCCACCTTTCACCTGTGGCAACACTTCTCACACTTTATAGCAATTACTTCATTGTTTTTCTGCCTGAGAGCAGGGATCATGACAGTGTTCTTTACTACAGTGCTTGATCATAGTAGGCATTTGATAAATCTCTGGGTCAGTGGCTGGTTAGTGGTTATTTGTTGCTTAATGTGTCTTGCTTGCTGTGTGATGAGGAGGAAGGTGCCACGGTTGGAAAGTTCTCTTGATGTCTTTGGCTTCTTGCTCTGTCCACCTCTCCACTACCTCTGTGGTACTACCTCTGTGGTACTCTTGGGTACCTGCCTGCCTTGGGCTACTCACAGGTACTTCTTCAGGGCTAAGAGGCTGGTTATAGTGGCAAGGAGACAATTCCCCCCCCCCCCCCAATGCTTCATGGGAGCCAGAGTTGGATGGAAGTCAATAAATTGTCCCAGCAACTCTATATCCCTCTTCAGATGCTCAGCCCTTGGTTTGTTTCCCTGGGGTAAGGACAGAGCAAGGACCAGGGTGGGTGAGATTAAACACAGGGTCTCAGCCAGAAAAGTAGAAGGTGTTTTATCCATGCCTGATTTACGTTTCTTACTCCCTCTATTTATTCTGTGCTGCTGTGAGGCCGGGGAAATTTCAGGAAGCCTGGGGTGGGGTGGGGGGTGATGTTGCTATCCCAGGCAGGATGAGGTAGTTGAGGGGCTGGGTCAGCTTCAGGAATTCAGCAGGGGGAGGGTCACCAGTCTGAACAAGCACTAAGGACACTTAAAGGGCTCTGTAGCCTTCTTCCTCCTCTTTAGCCTCTAGACTCCATCTCCTTCCCTAAACCAGAACTCTCTACCCCGCTCCCAACAGATGATGGGAACCATAACTCATTTTTTTTGTCTATCTATCCATCCAAACATGCATTTATTAAACAGACATTTGTCCAGCATATACCATGTGCCAGGCCCTGTAAGAGGTTTTGGGGATCTAGTGGAGAGTACAACAGATGAATTCCCCAGTTCTCATTCATTGGACAATATCTATTGCACACCTACTCTGTGTTTGGCCTTGTGCTAGGCACTGAGCATACAAGAGAGGGGAAGATCCAGTCCCTCCTTTCCTCCCTCCTCTCTCTCATTTGTTCATTCATTCGTTCACCACAGAAGTCTGTGTCCACCTGGTTGCGAGCCCGCTGCACTTTGCAGATGCTTTCCCCTCTGGCAGAACGTGATGGAAGTTTCAGGCCTCAGTCTTTACAGAGCCCTGAGTGGACTCTGCCACACCCTGTGTTGTTTGCAGAGTGCCTCCTATTAACAAGTCGTGCCTGATGCCTGGACTGTGTTCCCGAAGCTTGGGCTCCTACAGATAGGAGGCAGGCAGATGGACAGCTGAGCTCCACTCTTCTGCCTGCTCTCTCCCATCTGCTTCTCCTCTGAGACTCAGTGGCCCCAGAGATGGCACTTTTCGGCTCCCCACTGCCTTCTCTGCAAAATGACCTCGTTAGTGCACCCTTCCCACTGGGCCAGTCCCCTCCACAAAGAAGGGACCTAGCCTGGCCGTCTAGCACCAGTCCCTCTCCACAGCCCTGTGGCTCTCAGTTATTTCGGATCCCAGCTGTACCAGCTGCCCTGGGCAAGAGGAGGTGTGTGTGGGTAACCTCTGAGTTACCCATTAACTCAGACATGAGTTAAAGGGCCGATGGCAGCGAGTACAGTCGAGTCTCTTTCCTGCCCATGGGCTCGGGTTGCTGCTCCAGGTCCACCCGCAGCTCCAAGATGGTCTCATCGCCCGTGGTCATAACAAGGATGCAAGCAATCATGCAGAAGGAGATGGTGCGAGAGTTCCTGGCCGAGTTCATGAGCACGTACGTCATGATGGTGAGTGGGGAGGAGGCACAGGGTGGGTGGGCTCTGAGGGAGGGACAGGCACCCCAGGACCTCAGGAGGGTGGGGCTCAGTGAAGGCAATCCATGACCCCCTCCCCACCACTGACCCCTGGGTCACATTATCCATTCTCCAGCCTTGGAGCGGGAATCCTGAAGGAGAAGCATAAGAAAGTAGAGAGAGGCTTTCTCTTTCTCGCTATCTTTTAGGGAAAGAAAGAGATCATAACATGTGGGGGCAGAACAAAACCATGGGCTGGGGCACAGGTGTCAGAGG